GGGTAGTGCTTATGCAACACAATTTAATGTCCCAGCAAGAACCAGGGATTTGTTACATGCATTATGCACTATTGTAATAGATCTTTCCAGGTTTTAAATGTGTGAGGGGCAAAAAGCCATTGATATTAACACTGGACTATGAATTCTTTGTAATACCAAGCCATAGCCTAATGTCTGGCATAGAATAGCTTACACAATAGAAGTTTACGGGGAAAAAAAAAAAGTCACACTTTGGGCTATAAACGTCTGTTTGTAATGGGTTCAATGATTTTAAAATGCTAAAATTAGAGATTTGAGAGAAGAAGTGCTGTCAGAGGAGAAAATATTTTCCCTATGCTCTTTGGCCAAGCATTAGCTATTCATTTCACATACCTGCACAGGCCTCTGTTTCACTTAGGATTCTTAGTTGCAAGCAACAGAAACTGATTCCAGTGGATAGAATCAGAGAAGGCATGAACTGAAAGTGCATTAAAGTAACTCACAGAATAGCTGGGAAGGCTAGAGAAGGAGGCTTGGGCAATGGGCAGGACCAAGGGTGAGCTACCACCCTTGGTCCTGAAAGAATTATCTAATGCTGTGTCTTCCAGATCCTTGGCAGGTGCACATGCCTGACTGAGCCCAGACTGCATGCCATGTCATAGGTTCCAGGGGATCTGGGGAAGCAAGTGTCTGGCATTTCCCAGCTTCTATGATGAGATGTGGCTCTTGACTCTTGCTATGGCTCGTAATATGGGAATTCCCCAAAGGTGGAAAGGGATTCACAAGTTAGACAGCCAAAATTTATGAAAGAGTCCACTACACTTCCAGCTGGCTGAAACTCCCGGGTCCAGCATTCTGAATTTCTTCTCTCCTTTGACTTTTTGCCTTACCTGCTTTGACAACCCACAACACTGAATAAACACAGTCACTGCATGTCATGGGTCTCAGCTGGTTAAAAACCACTGAGGAAGTACACACAATTGGTCATGAGTCTTTTGTCTATTTCTAGTAAACTCAGTTAATACAATGGGTCTAAACCCATCTAACCCCATTCACAAAAATTTAATTCTATACATGTATTCAGAGGGATGTGCTCCAGGAGATTCTGATGCATACTTCTGGTCGGCAAACATATTTTTTAGTTTTTTCCCATTTCCCACAGCTTCTTTATAAACCATTTCTATTTTTCTGAATTCACCCAATGCTATGCCATCAGTCTCAACCAATGACCCTTCCATCAGCTGGGAAAACTAGGCCATCTAATGCACACTCCCTCGCTACCAACTTCTCTCTTTTTCAACTTAAAATTTCTTCTGTTTTTACCCACTCTACCCTCCTTTGTTAGCTCTTCTTTCTAAGGCTAAACTGGCCACCAGTGCTCACTTGAATGCTCTTTGGTCTAATCTGAGACCTAACACTTATCTTCCCTTTGACTTCGTCTTTGACCTCATTTCCATGATGCCTAATTCCCTTTGGGACTTCAAGTCTCACCTGATCTAACAACTTTCAACTTGACCCTGCTTCCCATAGTCCACCTTCCTGTCCCCCTGGCCCCCCCACCCCTTCACCCTTCACATCCAAAGATTTAAAAGGATTAGTTTGTACTCAAGGATGCCTCCTCCCCACCTTCCACCCGTTCTCCTCTCTGTAACTACTTCCAGGTTCATCCTCCAGACACACACTGCTCTTCCAGGGCCACCCATGGCTTCCTGATGGCCAAGCCAATGGCCTCCTCATAGTTTGTGTCCTTGACCTCTCAGAAGCATCTGACCCTATTAAAAACCCCTTTCCTCCTGTTGTGAGTTCTGATAAAAACATCCCTCCTAATTTTTCCTTCTACTTCTCAGATGGTACATTCTCGGCCTCTTCAGCTGGGCTCTCTCCTCTTCTTGTTCTGTTATCTCCTTCTGGCCATTACTTTATCCTCAAAGTAAATGGCACCCAGATATGTGTCACCAATCCTCATTCTTCTATCCTGAGGTTCAGGTCTTTCTTTTAAAGGGTGCCCAGGCTCTTCTCCTACCCCATCTCCTCTTCCATGACTCCTTTTTAACAAGTTATTGTGAAAATATACATAACATAAAATTTATCGATTAAACCACTTTTAACACTAAGTCCATCCCCACTGTTGTGCTCCTCCGAGCGTTGAGAACATGGGCTCTGCAGTGTCTGATCTGAGTTTCAATCCCAGCCCTAGGACGTTGGCTGAGCCTCTCCACCTCTCTGGCTGCACTTTCCTCAGCTTGTTACTTTCTACTCTTGTTGGGTACGCGGTCACTGTCCTGAAGTAATAACGGTTTTCTTTGTGTGTGAGCGAACACCCTCAGAGGACTTGGAGCTGGTGAGGGAAGTGAAGAGAAAATGAGCAGTTTGAAGACACTGGTAGGTCTTAGCCAGAAGTAGAAGTTTGGCTATGTTGGAGTGGGATCGTTGAATCTGGCATTGGCTCGGCTTTATGACACAAACAGCTGCACCCACACATGCTGTGAAAAGGAGGGGAAAACAATCAGTCAGCAAAACTGTTTGGGTGGCTGCTTCAGTCTCCAGGCCGGGTAGTAATGGATCATCAAATGACAGGTGAAACCTCCGTGAAAGTTGAAAAGGCCATTTAGTTGAGTTGTAAGAATTTGCCCAGAAAAGAGGAGATTAGGGGAAATTTGATGTGCATACCTTTTAAAATGCCTTCTTAAGTCCTGCGTTTAGAAAAGCATCAAGGATCTAAAAAGGACACATTGGTTTTTTTGGTGTTTATTTCATTTTCTTGGAGGAAAATTTGCTTATGAATGTTGGGGATTCTAGCAGGTCTCTCCTAAATGTTAAGAAGCATTTTTTAAAATTTTTTTTTAGCATTTATTTCTTTTTGGACTGATCTTGTCCATCTCTCATATCCTGCCCAGGGCCTGTCACAAAAGATGCACTTTTGTGACATCTAGCACTGCCTTCTGTTTCAGTAATGAAGAGGTGAAGTATTTTAGTGACCAGAGCCTACTTTTCCTTTTCAGAGACTGTATTGAAGTAAAGACCCTCAAAGAATTTCAGCCCAGAATGTCACAGGGTAAGGATAGAACAGGTTGCCCTTTACAAAGCACCTTTAAATACTTTAATTCATTCATTACCGACAACTTTGGGAGGGTAGCTGTTAGGATCCTCCATTTTTCTGAAGAGGAGCCTGAGGTTCAGAGTGGTTCAGTGAGTTAGCCAAGATTTCACAGCTACTAAGTTGTTTGGAGCAGCCTCGCTGAGCACCCGGGACTTACAAACACATTTGGCCTCACAGAGGCCTGTTTTGAGCTATAGCTTGGCTGGTGGCCTTGATGTTTGAGGACCGGCCATCTAAGGCATGTGGGGGAGGCGGCCCTTCCCTATTGGAAATGTCCCCTGGTGGAGCCCAAGCGTCTGGCACGAGCTAGAAGGCGGCTAGAACACCCGGTGGCCACAGCTGGACCGCAAGGGCACGTACTCAGGCCTCCCTTTTTACCAGAGGCCCCCTTGACTGGCATCTGCTCTCCTGAGGCGCCCCCTCGTCCTGCTCTGGCCCTAGGGAGCGCGTGCCACCCACCCAGGCACGCCGGCCGTGCGCCCT